ATTTTTCATAGGAGAAACACTAGATTGTTACTCAATCAATGAGCTCATTGATATCCATTAAAGAATAAAAATGCATGTTGAAGTGGTTTTTTCTTCACAAAGGAAAGATGTTACAAGCTATGTTTAGAAACTTTACATGGTTCAAGTTCCATACCAACACTATAATTTGATTTCAAGAGGCTGGGAGGTTTTAACAGCATAGACATCAACAACAGTCGTCTCATTATCGATTTATAGTAAATTTCAACAAGCTTAATATTTTTGGACAGAATTTGAAGTACTGGTACGAAGGTAAACATGCTCATCGCTGCTTTGACAAATTCCGAGTTCATTACCGATTTGCATAAACACAAAGAATCATTCTAGGCTATGAAACTAGAAAAATAGACATATTGTATGAAATCTGTATGTACCAAAGGGTCTGAGAAATACGTGAGGAAGGAGGGCTGTAGCTTAGCGATTTTTTTGAATAAGAGGTGGCATGAAGGCTCTCCGAAATTGCATCCCAACTTTTTAGTGTGCCTAAAAGCCAATGTTTTAAGAAGGGGGCACGGAGGGAACGGCGCCTTCGAAAAAATTTTTTTTACAAAGCTGATTTGAAGCGTTTGTCTAAGAGGAGAAGTTTCAATAAAGCAATGCGAATGCGATGCTTATGACTAAAACAAAATGAATTCAAGCTTTGAAACAACATAATGAGCAATGTTGCGAATGACTATATTTCGATGACGTGACGACCTTTTGAAATATAACAAAATTAAAAATTGTTGTGCATATGTATTGCAAATCACAGAATTCTATGGCCGCAAGACGTGCATATGCGTCAGCTAGGCCTCACGAAATTGCTGTATAAAAAGTCACCAGAAACTTCTTCTACAATCATGCTTTCTTCAGCGATTTGTCTCCTGCTGGTAGCCTCAGCATGGGCTAATGTAAGTATGATTTCTTAGTTGTTGTAAAAGCGAGACACAAGGTGAGAACTTTCATATCTCAGTGTCTGCTTACTGCGGGCATAGTTTCCCGAAACCTCTGTTAAAGCATTGGAAAACTCGTCAGGTAGAAGCTGTCTAGAAGTCACAAAAATGAATAGACGCAGTTAACATCATTTGGTCAGCATTGCTTACTCACAATTCAAGAAATTTCATTTTTCGACTTGCTGTGTGTGTCAAATGTGCTAACTATTTCATAAGGTCGTCACATCATCGAAAAAAAATGTTGACCTGTTGTTTGAAAAAATGTTTAAAAAA